GACCAGGAGTCSGGGCAGGAGGCCCTGGGGCTGTGTGTCAGCTTGTGCTTCCTGGGGGTGGGGGACAGGCTGCATTGCTGCTAGGCTCCTTTTCCCTTGGGCTTCTAAGGCCAAAGCTTCGCCCCAGAAGTCACCCTGCTCAAGGCTCACCTTTGCTCCCTGTGGCTGCTCCTGACTCTCCTGACCTTGGGCCGTGCCTGTCCTGGGAGGAGTGAGGTTCTCTGTTGCCCCCGTCAGGAAGGGCTCTGGGGGAGGAGGCAGGTGACTGCTGGGGTCAGAACCACACTCCCAAGTGGAGCGGCAAATATAAAGGGGGCAACATCAGATGGGCTGGTTGTTCAAGGCTGGGCCTCTTCTCTGGCCGCAGCCTGGGAAGGGCACCCCTCCTTAACTCACAGCTGACCCAGGCTCGATACAGCAGCCAGTGAGACCCAGTGCATCTGGCCCTCTGGGTGCCAAGAAATTGTGAGGCAAGGGGTCAGGCCCCTCTCCCTGGGGACAGTGAGCAGCTTCTTGATGCCCCTCCCAGGAGCCCTGCCCTCCAGGTCTGGAGCCCCTCTTCAGCACTTCCACATCATGGCTCTTGGGTTGGCCAGAGCTCTGTGCAGTGAAATCTAAATAGTTCCACAAAGTCACCATGTTTTAATGGGATGAGCTGGGAGACAGCGAACTCCATCTGCCACACACATGCCGCTGAGCGTGGCTCTTGGCAGAGTTCTGTACTAACCAGGCACCTGGCTTCTAAACTTTTTTGGGGTGGGCAAAGGGAGCCGTTTCTAGATTCTGTCATTCCTCTGGATGACAAGAGGGAAGGTGGCCCAGGCTTATCAGCAATGTAACCAGTGCACGGTGCATGCAGAATGGAGTCCCTTCCTGAAAGTAGTCCCCTCTAGGATACTGCAGACTCATGATTTACAAGGACAAATCTTTTCCTCTGTCGAAGCTGGGGAAAAAAAAATACATTTACAGAATCACATAAACCTCTGACCATTTATGGTGTCCCCATTTTCTGTATCTCTGGACTCAAAAGAGTTCGGTCCTGGACTTAGAAGGTCACTGAATGTTTGGGTCATGAGGTGGACATACAGTGACACACACTGGTCTTGTTCTCTACATATCACAGAGAAACTCCAGTAAAAAGACCTCCTAAAAAAATGTCAGGCAGGTGGGTATAGTGGCGCATGCTGGTAATCCCAGTGGCTGGGGAGGCTGAGACAGGAAGAAGGCAAGTTCAAAGCCAGCCTCAGCAACTTAGTGAATTAGTCCTACGCAACTCAGCAAGACCCTGTCTCTAAATAAAATATAAAAGAGGGCTGAGGATGAAGCTCAGTGCTTAAGCACCCCTGGGTGCAATTCCCAGTACCTAAAAAACAAAACAAGTCAGGCAACTGAGAAAACAGATTTGTGTAAAATGGATTAATATCAAATTCAATTATCACACACTGTTGAAACCATGCTCAAGGTCAACAAATTTCTCTAAATTCACCATTTAGGAATATGTTCTTTGAGGAATGCTATTTAAAGTGTATGTAATGCAGTACCAGCCTGAGAAACAGCCTTCATCCTATAAAAAAGGGGGAGGGGGAAGGTCTTATCCCAAACTCATCAAATGACATAAAAATGTTAAGGTGACTTTTTGGTTTTGGTATCTGTTATCCAGAAAGCTGTTATAAATACCTTATCTATAGTCTGTCTCCATATATAATAAAATGCTATATAATCTATTTTAATCACCCACATGAGGTTATAAAAACAAAGAAGAGTCACACTGCCTGAACACACTGCAGTCCCAGGGCTGACGGCCTTGTCTTTCCAGGGGTCCCTGCAGATCACATTTCTTCAATGCCCAGGATTTGCTGTGGATAGTACCTGCCTTGACCCCAGCGATTTTATAGCCACTCACCAAAAGACATCACCGTTTTACAACAGGAACAACACAGAGGTATGACCAAAGCCATTTTATTTTTTCCTACATAAATTTTAAAATACTTTAATGGAAAACACTGAGTACCCATCATGTCACCCTGAATGCCRCAGCACCTCGGCTTCTACACACGTGGCAGCCGGGTCAAGGCCCAGCTAGCAGCATACACTTCTTCATGGTCCTTCAGTAGTTTTGCATGTATAGAACCTCCCGTTTTGCTTTAGCAAACAGCAACATGATTTAAAACTCTCACATTTCCTGTATGACACCTAAAATCCAGTCCTATATTTATTAATAGAGTTAGAAAAATAAAAGCCTTAAAAATTTCATGGTATGAGTTCATGTATTAATCACATAATYTCTTTAACATAAGATTATTTTTAAGACTAGTTTACATAACAACCTCTGGTTTAATTTGAAAGACGTGACTTGAAATCTAGTGAGATCGTTAGGTCAATGYACATGTATGTCATTTACCTGACTTAATTTTTACTGGCTGGGGAGAGTTAATTCCCACTGTCCACTGGATGAATGACTTAAATATTAATAAATACACTACAGTATTTACAAGCATTCTCACATACTCTGACACTGACTGGAAAGT